AGTCCCCTCCCAGTAGCACCCACGCATTCATGCTCTTCCCGCTGCCGCTGAGAACGATGTAGGGCGTCTTCTGGGCTTTCTGTTTCTCCTGCAGCAGGGCCACCGTCCCCAGGGGGGTGTCACTGGAACTCATCTTCTTCAGCAGCTGGGGGGGGCCACACTGGGGTGAGACCCCCCCAAAACCAGAGGGGGGACCCCCAAAAATAGGGGACCCCCCAAAAAGATAGGGGGACCCCAAAAATAAGGATCTCCCCCCCCACCCCCCTCCAATCCTAAGGGTGGGGGAAGTCCTGAGCAGTGCGGCTGGGGGGGGTCAAATTTGGGGGGACCCCCCCTCCCTGAGGGAGGGGACACCCCAAAACCTAAGGTGACCCCAAATATGGGGGGGAGATCCCCCCCAAAGTGAGACCGGGGACCCCCAAAATGGGGATTTGACGGTCCCATCTCTGCTTGAGGGACCCCAAAAGATATGGGGGGGCTCAAGGGGGTCTGGGGACCCCAAAAATTGTCCATGGGACCCAAAAATTGGTTCAGGGGACCCCAAAATCAGGCTGAAGGTCCACAATAGGGCCAGGGGGGACCCCAGAAGTGTCCAGGACCCCCAAATTGGGCCAGAGGGACCCCAAAAGGGTCCAGAAACCCCAAAATGGTGTGGGGGACCCCAAAATTGGGCTGAGGATGCACAATGGGGCCAGGGAGGGACCCCAAAAGTGTCTAAGGACCGCCAAATTGGGCCAGATGAACCCTGAAAGGATCCAGGGACCCCAAAAGTGGGCTGAGGACCCACAATGTGGCTAGGGGGGACCCTGAAATTGGGCTGAGGACCCACAATGTGGCCAGGGGGGACCCTGAAATTGGGCTGAGGACCTACAATGGGGCCAGGGGGGACCCTGAAATTGGGCTGAGGACCTACAATGGGGCCAGGGGGACCCCCAAATTGGGCTAAGAACCTACAACAGGGCCAAAGGGACCCCAAAATCGGGCTGAGGCCCCACAATGGGGCCAGGGAGGACCCCAAAATTGGGCTGAGCACCCAAAATAAAGCTGGGGGGACCCCAAAAGCCTCCCAGGACCCCCCCCAAAAGCCTCTCACCGCCTCTTCATCTAACTTCTTCATCCTCCGCTCCGTCTTCATCTTCCCGGAGCCTTTGCCGTGGAAGCGATGGGAGAGCTGCCGGAACGCCTTGGGGCGAGACAAGGGACAGTGAGGGGGGTCAGGGGACACATGTGCCCCCCCCCCCAACCTCGTCACCGCCGTCCTCGCACCTCCTTGGGTGTCAGCTTGCGGCCGGTCTCGTCCACGTACTCGATCTTGACATCGGGGCGGTAGCCCTCTTTCTCCTTGAAGTCCTGCGTGAAGCCGCGGTATTCCTCGCGCCGGCTGTACTTGTCATCGATGGCCCTGCGTGGTGACATCGGGGACAGGGTGACATCGGGGACAGGGGACACACCGGGGATGGGGAGGGGGGACACATGAGGATTTTTGGCACCCAGGGAGACGGAGGCGGCACAGCCGCGCCTGTGCTCCTCACACCGGTTGTGCTTGTCACCAGTGGGGAGATGAGGGGGTGCTGGGGTGACACAGGGGTGGCGGGGGGGGTGACACAAGGGTGACATCACCCACATCTTGTCCTCAATGCAGTAGACAGCCGAGGGCAGGGACTTGTTGGGGGCTTTCACCCTCGCCACCTTCTGCACCGTCGTCTCCAGCAGCCCTGGGATGGGGGGAAAGGGGGTTGGGGGGACCCCGGGGTGAGACAGAGCACCCTATACACACCCCAAATCGACCTACAGAGGCCCCAGAGCACCCTGGATCCTTCTATGGGCCCCCCCAACCACCCTGTATGGTCCCCAATCCACCCTACAGACTCCCCAATCCACCCTATAGACTCCCCAAATCACCCTATAGACCCCTGCCCCCCAGCCCCCTCGGCTCCTTCTGTAGGGCCCCCAATCCACCCTGCAGAGTCCCCCAAAAACCCCAGGGGAGCCCCAATAACCCACCCCCCCCCCCGGGGCACAAACTAGCCCCAAGCAGCCCTGGGGGACCCCAACCCCTGCCCCTCCCAGGGACCCTAAAGCACTCTATAGGGGTGAAGGGTCCCCAACACCCCCCGGGGGGGGAACCATGCATCTGCCCCCCACCTTTGTTCTGGCAGAGCAGCAGGGCAGCAGCCAGGCCCCGGTTAACAATCGGCTCCTCGTCAAGGATGGTGGTGGAGGAGGCTGAGAACTGAAAGGGGGGCAAAAAGGGGGTTGAAAGAGACCCCCACTTTGGGGGACACCCCCCAGCACCCTCTATGAGGCTTTAAGGGACCCTGAAACCTGCCAGGGTACCCCCCCAAAAGCCACACTTCAGAGCAGTATCCCTGGGGGGGGTCTTCATCCTGTTTTGGGGAGCCTCTTTTTGGGGTTTGGGGGGCTCTTAATTTTGGGGTGATGCTGCTACGTGGGGGTTCCTTCTCTGCATTCAGAGATGACCCCAGTTTTGGGGGGCTGCAGTCTGTGGGGGCCCCAGCCCCCTAGTTTTGGGGTGTCTTGTCTTTTGGGGTGTCCTGTCTTTTGGGGCATACCTAATCCTGGGGTGCTCCTGCTCCCAGTAGTCCCAGTTTTGGGGTGTCCCTGCTTTAGGCTGCCCTCCATTTTACAACACCCTCGTTTTCAGAGGTATCTCTGTGGGGTACACCTTTTTTAGGGTGTCCCAGCTTTAGGGTACCCCTAATTCTGGGGTGATCCCTTTCTGGGGTGTCCCCAGTTTCAGGGTGTCCTTGTTTCAGGGCATTCCCCATTTTTGGGTACACCCTATTTTCAGGGGTGCTCTGGTTTGGGGGTGTCCTAGCTTTAGGGTGCCCCTAATTCTGGGGTGGCCCCAGGTTTCAGGGTGCCCCTGTTCCAGGTATCCCGGCTTTTGGGGTGCCCCTGGTGATGAGCTCTCCTTGTTTTAGGGTGCCCCCGTTTTTGGCTGTCCCCTGTTCTGGGGTGCCCCTGGTTTTGCGTGTCCCTGTTTTCAGGTGTCCCCTATTCTGGGGTGTCCCTGGTTTTGGGGTGCCCAGTTTTGTGGTGTCCCTGGTTTTTGGGGTGCCCCCCCAGGTTTTTGGGGTGCCCCCCCAGGTTTTTGGGGTTCTCACATCCTGGTGCTGCCGCTCCTCCGCCAGGTTGACGCTGCTCCAGCCCACATTCTCCTCCCCTTCCGAGTCAGGGGCCCCTGGAGGCGAGGGGCGCCCTGCCCGCTCCAGGGCCTGGGGGGGACACGGGAGACACACACACGGTGACACGAGTGACAAGAGCCCCCCCAAGTGCATCCTCCGCCCCCCCCAATGTACTCCCCAC